GAGGTAATGGCCCGTACAGTAACTGATGGTTCAATACTAGCACTGATACTTTGCTGGGACTGCTGGGAACTCTGCAATAATGATATAAGAACATCATATTAATGAGAGAGTAGTGTTAATGCATTAATTACTATCATCAAGAACAGTATAGTAAACTGAATGCATGATCAATGTTGTACATGTACTATAGCATTATAAATCAATTGTGTGAGATATTGCATGGAATAGTTCCATTAAGAAACTAGAATAAGTGTCATATCAGTAGTTTATAATCATATTTCAGTTTAACTAACACACACTGTATTCAAGTGTATTAAGACACCAGTACCTCTACTGCTGGAGTGGTTGATGATATACTACTAATAGCACAAGAACTATTAGTACTACACAATGACTCAACTGCTTTACCTACCTCTTGTAAGCATCTCCAAGAACAACAACCTGAAAGTCCATCAGGTTATTATATACTGGCAGGACCTACTGGAACATATTCTACATACTGTAATATGGGAACATTGTGTGGTTCAGGAGGAGGATGGACAATTAATTGATAGAGGATGATTGAAGGTGATATATGTACTTTTAATGTTAGTAAAAAAATTGGTACACAGCATAAGGACATCAAAATGTATCAAAAATGTACTAAAAATTTGGGCAAATTTTGGAGCCATTTTTTAGAAAAAACCATGGGCTATAGCCTTGGGCATTTTTCAGAATTTTGGAGTTTTCTTAAAATGGCTACAACTTGAAAAATTAAAGTCAGAATCAGCTCAAACTTTCTACACAGAATAAGGACAGCAATATGTATCAGAAAATGTAATAAAAATTTGGTGTGATTTCGGAGCTATTTTTTGGAAAAAACCATGGGCTATAACCTTGAGCATTTTTCAGAATTTTGGAGTTTTCTTAAAATGGCTGTAACTCAAAAAATTGAACTCGGAATCAGCTCAAACTTTCTACACATCATAAGGACATCAATATGTATCAGAAAATGTAATAAAAATTTGGGTTGATTTCAGAGCCATTTTTTGAGAAAAACCATGGGCTATAGCTTTGGGTATTTTTCAAAATTTTGCCATTTTCTTAAAATGGCAGTAACTTTAAAAATTAAAGTCGGAATTACCTCAAAATTTCTACACAGCATAAGGGCATCAATGTGTATCAGAAAATGTAAAAAAATTGGAGGCAAATTTAGAGTCATTTTTCAGAAAAAAAACCATGGGCTATAGTACAGGGTATTTGTCCCGAAATTGACTCATTTTTGAAAATAGCCATATTAAACTGGAATAATTTTATTATGAATCACCTCCACTTTTACACGGCATAAGTAAATCAAAAATGGGCGGCTTTAATTTTATAATTAAAAAAAATAAAAAGGCAATTATGCTTGAATACTTGACAAATACAAAAGCTATTATTTATATTCTCTGTATTTACTATTCATATCATCATACAGTTTGTTAGCTAGTATGGTATCTTCATCTATAAGTATTTCTAAAATATACTCAAAAACCTTTCCCTCTTGTTGTACAGAGTCTTTAATAATGTCAAGTAGTTGATCCATTCTCTGGTCAGTGGTACGTCCACTGTGTTCATCAGTGGCTTTCTTCTTTTGTCTAACATTTATTATCTTCTTCTCTAATAACTTCTCTGCTAAGAAGTGAAGATCAATCCCACAGTGTTTGAAAGCTGAAATATATTCTGACATCACTTTATAAGCAACTTCTGGTACAACTAGTAAAGAGGTACATAAATTAAACAAAATAAAATACTTTGAGCTTTACTTTCTGCTCCCGCTACTCTTTCAGTTGAAGTGGGAGCGAAAACTGATGGAACAATTAACAATAATAATAATAATATAAGTAAATATTAATTACTTGATGAAGGAGTGGTTGATAATAAGTCATTCTTAGATACTTCAATATTCCATTGAACAGTAGATGCATCAGATGATGTTTGTATACCTTCAATAAGTAGAGCATGGGACATCTCATCAGCAACAGGTTCAGACTGATTAGGTTTTACTGATACTTGAATGTATGGAGGCTCAGCACTTTTACTGGCACTGTAATCAGCAACATGGCCTCCAGTGATCTACAATTAATGATAAAAGGAATAATAGGAATTATAATCTACACAGCATCTTACATGGTCAGTATTGCG